TCCATCTTGACGGCAGTGAGTTTGGTTTGTTTTATGCCAGTTCTAAATATGGGGCTGAATTGGATATGATAGAGTTCAGACAAAAACTCACGTCTACCCTTGAATGTCCAGTTTAGTGATGTGAGGAAGTAGTTAGGAGTGTGTATTAAAGGTATGGAGAAGTCAAATCACTTTGTGTGGTGTAGTAAATTGCCTGATACAGCTTTTCTAGCCATAAATCTTTGTAAACTCTGTCGTGGAATTTGCTGTGAGCAACTGAAGAGCTCCTGATTGTAAAAGTTATCCACCTGGGGTATTTCTGTTGAGAGTTGCACAAAGCAATGTTCTGGGAAGTTCACTCTCTCTCAGGTGCTTAAAATTCTGATGTTATGATTGGTTAGTTTGGCCACTCTGCCAGGCTCAAAAGGAGGCCTCCTAGAGGCAGAAGAAGTCTCTCTGACTGCTGGCTGAGAAAGACATACTGCTGAGAGTAATGTGCTCCTGAGAGACACATGCTGTTGAGAAAGAGATGAGAGACACACATTGCTAAGAGAGACACTGAGAGACACACATTGCTGGGAGAGTAGCTGAGACAGACTGTTGGCTGAGAGACAGTGGGCTGAGAGAGACTGGTGCTTCCTTAATAAACCCCACAGTCTGTGAGTTTCGTGTGGCAACTGCAGTGAATTATCAAACCTAGCAGAGAAGTGGTGGGTGTTATGGGAGGAACAGTTAGTGCAAGGGCTGGAGGGAGGCAGCATGTCTGGCCTCGCAGGAATAGTCCTTGGGCTACTGATGGTGATTCTGTTCTTCTCTTGTGGGGTTAAAGGAGGTCAAAAGATGCAGCCTCCCTGCCATTTAAGCACTTTAACATGGAAAAATTCACATTAGACTTCTGAAGCAAGCCAAGGTGAGCTGTTATTGTCAACCATGTCAAGATGTCATCATCGTAAGTTGGCAAACCACACTAGCAGTGGGGCCAGTTTGAATCACTGCTAAGATATCAGGTTGTCATTGGTCTTGACCACTAACCACTTTAAAGACTGAAAACAGTAAAACAATAAATTTAGAGTATTCACTAGACTTGAGCCAGATATGGCAGTAATACATTCTGCTTGAGGGACTAATGATGGCATTGATTTGATACTCCCACCCCAGAAGATGAGGACTTTCATGACTTTTTATGGAAGAAAATAAAATGTTTAACTTACTAGTAGGGATTAAGAGTAGTGACTCCTAGACAAATATAATGTAGTAAGTTGAAGTTGAGCATCATAGCAGATGGGGAAGTTAAGGAAAAACATCTCTACAGAAACTGTCTTACCACTTTTATCAAGGTGGCTGATCTTGGTGCATTAAGAGTCCACAGAGTATCCAAAATACAGAATTATAATTCAAACAACCAACTGACTACTGTCTCCTAAGAACTCAGTATCATACAAGAGGCCCTCAAGGATAAAGTACATGCTATCATAGTAGAAGATTCTAGACACACACACATGCTTGCGTGTATGTGCATGTTCATGCATGCACATGCACACACACAATGTCTGAAGTAATTCTCTCGGTTACTCTCTTGCTTATTTTGACCAGCCCTTGTTATGGCAGCCAGCTGAGAAACTGGGGGCCTGTAAATAATTAGTCCTTTCTTGCAATACTGTTTAATTCAGTGCAACCACAGACTGGTCTTACACATGCTATGCATTTTCATACACCCAAAGCATTGCCCGACAGTTAGCATGGGCCTGTGTTGACGGAGAGATGGGGAGACAAGTGGAGTTCTAAAACAAAGGCACTTAGATTAAGCCTGGTGGTTTCCAGTGTGTAGATTTGAGTTCTGATTTTCATGTGTAAATAACCTCCTAGGCCTTTGGTCAGCTATACTTTCCCAGAGACAAAGCCACAAAAAGTCTCAGATCTTGGCCAAAGGATCTGACTTTTGTTTGTCCAATGAATAAAGTCAATTTGGGCTGAACAGTCAGCTGCTTTACTTCCTTAACTGGGAAAAATTCTCTGCAACTGAGCTGGTGGAAAGTATCTGCACACAGAACTCATGCTTACTCTCTGTCCCAAAAAGTTATCAATAATCTGTACACTTGCAGCAAAATATGAACAAATATATTTAGATATATTTAAAAGAATTAAAAAAACATTTCACAAAAACATTTGTTGCCATAGGAATTTTTTTTTTAGCAATAAATGCCCACATCAAAATTTAAACATTGTTCAAAGTATGATTATCTGTACTAATAAGTTATGCAACAAATTATGTAAACAGAGTCAGATACATTTTACTGTAGGAGTCACTGTCCTTTCTGGGATTGAAGCTGCCCCATACATTTTTCCAGGGGACCAATTAAGAAACTGCTATTTTCAGAGCAACAAAAATAAAAGCTTTTATTTGTTCATTTGAATATAAAACAGGCGTTATCACAGATGTACAAAGCGTACTGGTGGTTTAACATACAAGAAGGTTGCTGTCCTTTGCACATAAAAATTTTGTTTGAAACTGTGATTGGTTGAGTACATGAATTTCTCTAACCAGTCACCACACTCTATGAAATAACGCTGCTAACATTCAACTGATAAAAGGGACCGTTTTCCCTTGGGTAAAGTGTCAAGCAGGATTAAATATATATAATAAACAAGCACCATGAGGAATCTGCTCCTGTTTGATTAGGTTTGTGTTTAAATGTTCATTGTGTACCCTCTCTTTGTGCAAGTGATTATACGGTTTTGTCTGACTTCAAAAGCACAAGGTCACAAGACAAACATTTTATACATTCTCATGAATGATTTATCTACAGTACAATTTCTAATACAGAACAATCCTTCTTTATTGCTGAAACTGGTGGTACTTAAGTGTCTCCTTTCCCTTTTTCTTGCACAACTTAACTTCAATCCTAGTCCACCAACTCTTTTGAACCTAAATGTTAACATCAGAGATGACAGGATGCAGAAGAGATCTGTTATTAACTGCAGTGCAGCATTTCCCCTCCCTTGAATGTAAAGTTGATATGGTGAAGGTTTGAAGTGACAGCTACATGGGTTTGCTTCTGGACACTGGTGAGAGTCACAAGTTCTCCTGCACACTGCAATTATGTTTCATAGTCAGTATCTTATCTGAAACCTTAAACCATCCTTCCCTTAAACAACGTGAGTGTGTGTATGAAAATGGTTTTTCCTGTGTGTGGTGGGGTTCTTTCAAACCCTTAGGAAGCAGAAGAGGATAGGAATGTGTGTCTGAAGCATGTAGGGAAATATTCATACACAACAAATGAAGTCAAACAATATTTTAAAAATCAATTGATTTGTGGAGATGGTGGGATGCACCACACATGTAGACAAATATAAAAAAGAAATGTCCCTCTCTAAAAAAAAAAGAAAAAAAAAAAAAAAAAAAAACAATCAGCCTTGGATCTTAGAAGTCAAACAAAACTTTTTTTTTCCCTTTTTTTAAGCAAAGGGCTTACTGCTGGCTGTATATAGCAAAGGCAGACAAAGGCATTGCCTACGATATAATGAGAAAAAAGATCTAAATTTTGCCCAGCAACAATCTTATAGTCATGCATATCTAGGAATGAGAGCCATTGCAGGATCATATGGGGGTAATTAGAAAATAAATCACTCGCGGATTGCTGATACCTTCTTCTTGGTGGGACACGGGCCAATTCAATTTAGAAGTGGACAGATGAGCTCTGAAAATTAAAGAGAGTGTGAGAAAGACAGCAGCAGCAGAAACAGAAACTACGGATGTATTTATCCACAGGTGGTTAAGATGAAGGCAGCCGTGAGGCATGCGTTCTTACTCCAGTCAGGGGCCTGTTAGGAATAGCCGGGCAGGTCAGTTACCTGGAGATTTGGCTTATGGCCAAGACTAGGGAACCCCAGAGACCAGAGGTTCACGCAGAGTTGGCTGGGTTGTAAGACCAGGTGAGGTTCACCTATATGAGTCTTTTCCCTTAAAGCTGTTCTGGACATTGTATCCACTCCACACAGTGGCCATCTTGGGGGCGGGAGAGGGGGGAAATCAATGCACCCTAGTGCAAATGACCACATCATATCATTCCTTCTCATACCAAGAACCAAAGAAAAGGTGACACAAACAAAAATGATGAAAATATTGTGCAACAAATTCTTGCAGCTAAGAAAACAGTGCTATTCACCAACCGGCCTTTCCTAAAGTCTATCAAATGTAGTAAGCACATGCCAGCAAAAACTCATTCATTGTTGCCCCCACAGCAAAGGAGAAAAAAAAAAAAAAAAAAATTAGTGCACATTTACCCTTAAATTCCTTCACCATCTTTGAGATGGCAATAATTTCACTTGCTGGTCTCTGGTATCTAGAAGAACCGTGTAGACAGGGCTACTAGCAATCTGTGATTGCTCTCGTCAGCAAAGTGTATGTGAGTAAATCACTCAATTATCTACAGTACAGTGGAGGGGACACCATGCAAGTGACAAGTTCTGCATTTTAAACTTTAAAATCTCCTTTTTTCATTAGTGAATTTATATTTCATATATATATATTTGTTGTGATACTATCCACGCAAGATAATACAACACTTTTTTATATTAGCAAACATTACAAGACTTTAATATTCTTGAATGTTTTTTCTCTTTTATACTTCTAAAGAGATCAAAATAAATTAAAAGTTTTGTACATAATTACATATGAAGAAGTTAACTTATTTTATCTTTTTAGTTTAGTACAAAGATATCTGCAAGATAATTGCCGAAATACACCTTATTTATAATTTCTTCTCATTCTATGCTAACATCAAAGGCCATATACTAGCCTCTGTTTCTTCAGCACATTTCTGACAAAGAAAGCTGCTAAAATCTAATTGGAAGGTGCTATTTGGAAGGTTTTCTCGTACCTCAACAAACTTTCCTAAAAGGATGAGATCTAGCAATGGCTTAAATTAGTAACAGATCCATGTCATTAAGATTTCATGACACATTAAAACAGAGAAAACAATTCTTTGTCACACTACATAAATTGTTTAAAAGAACCCATCTGGAGGGCAGAATATTTAATTGCTATTTCGGCTTAACAAAATACAATGCCACATTTACGAAGAAAGCACTTATTATTCAGTAATTTAAAAAAAAAAAGAAAGAAAGAAAAAAAAGTTTTTGAAATGGGCTTTTCCAACAAACTGAAGGCAGTAATCCCGAAGTCCTTCTGAGCTAAATTTAGTGGTAAATTCACAATTCACATTTCATTTCCATGCCAATCATCACTGCTGTGAAAAGTTGTCATCATCATCACCATCACAATGACAAAAGGTTCCATTCTGGTGAATGTTGCCCTCGTATCTGCACAATTTTAGTGGACACTGAGAATAATGTTTACATCTCTAGAAAAGTCCATGGAAGCGAAAGGGACAAGACTACATGTTGTAGGCCACGTAGATGGGATCTAGTTGGTCAGCCAAGAATCCGTCTCGTAGGTGCATACGCTGTTTCTCTCCACGGGAGTTGATAGGAATGACACCGATGTCCACCACAACCACCACTCCTACAATCAGATAGTGTTCCTCCAGAACCACATTGGTCACTAAAGGAACAAGGTCCAAGGCTTCTTGTTCTGACCCATCAAGCTCAACGACAACCACCAACAAATTTGTCCAGGTAAACACAGCACTAGAAGGGAGAAAAAACGTCATTATATTGTGAGTTTTTTAATATAACAACTATATGTTATTCTCAAAAAGGTTCTTTCTCAAATATATCTTATCCTCTTCTTTGGCCTGCTTTTCTTTGTAATTTCATCTCCTTTAATCTAAGTGATTAAACATTCCATACAGAGCTACTCTGGGGATAATAAATCTGTTGTTGGTATTTTCTACTGTCCTTCTCTAATGGTGGCTTGCTTTTTCAAGTGTTTTCTACAAGTGTGGGTGTAAGTCTATCAGAAAAAAAATGCATATTTTGTCCAGTATGGCTAATACAGACATTAAAATGAAAAGGAAATATTGGAGAATGTGTTCAATAGATCTCTCCATCTGGATTTTGCTTTGTGAGAACAATGTCTACATAAGGGAATAATCCTGCAGAAAACTGTTCCCAAGAAAATGTTGTGCTCTTTTGTGATACTAAAATCTTGTTTTTCCTGGCCCACGTGAGCCCATATTGTAATGTCAGAGATCATATACACCTTTCAGCCACATTCAGCCTTATTTTATTATTGCATTGAAATTTATGACATAGTTTGGCAGTATCAGTAATCAGCTTGGATTTTTGTATTTAATTTAGTAGGTCAAAGCATATTTGCTTTACTCTTAGCCCCTGGCTTCTCTAGGAAGCTCTGGGATGCTGGTTACTTGCTGTCAGAGCTTTTCTAAGGGCTAGATGCCAGTTTATATATTAAATTTTCTTCACAAGGTGGGGCATTGGCGGAAGGAAGAGGTGCCATTTTTTTATAGATTCGAGCTAATAAAAATCAATCAATGGCATAGTGCCTAAGGCATTTGACTGCTAACTAGAAGGTTGGTGGTTCAAACCCATCAGCCACTCCTGGGAAGAAAGACTGGGCAATCTAGTTCCATAAAGATTTACCGCCTCAGAAACCCAAAGAGGGTTGCTATGAATTGGAATTGATGGTAGTGAGTTTGGTTTTTGATGAGAAATGAAAAGATCTGATTGGCTGAAATTGTGTAACCGTCACATTGTGTGGCATTCATAACATGAGAGCACTTGCATTTCTGGGTGTGAGGTAATTAGTGGTGAAGCCCTGGAAAGGAGTAACACATACAAGTTGAGAAGGCAAGAAGGGCATTTGGCTAAATTAACTCAATGAAGGACCTCTCAGGGATTAAAAATAAAAACAAAAAAACAGGTATGGCTGAACAATTTCAAATGTACTGACAGTCAGTCAGAAGGAAATCCATTAGCTTTTCTTTCTTCAGGGCACTCCATGAGAACATATGATGAATGTATGCAGGCCAGTGGCCACACAGCAGGTTAACAACAAGTGATATTTAGAAAGAAAACTGGAAATACGGACTAGAAATCCATAGAGTAGCACACAGGCAGCCATGAACCTTTAAAGAGAACTCTACAGTGAGAACATTCCTTTTCCAACTAGATGGAAAGTGCTTGAAGGAGGCAATAAAAGCCAATTAAAATTATCTCCTTTGAAATATAAAAATGAAAGTTGGAATGAATAGTTATAGCAATGTGGATGGAAACTGGAGTCCCTGGATGGTATAAAACTGTTAATACGCCTGGCTGCCAACTACAAGATTGGAGCTCCGAGTCCACCCAGTGTGCCTCAGAAGAAAGCCTGGCAATCTACTTTTGAAAAATCAGCCATTACAAACCCTATGGAACACAGTTCTACTCTGAAACAAGTGGGGTTGCTATGGGTTGGAATTGACTCAGTGGAAACTGGTTTGGTATTTTATTTGGATGGAAATTGGGGTAGGCCTTCTGCCCTACTTTCTGAGCTGGCTTCTTTCCAGGGCTTTTGTTTGATCAGTTTCTGTCCTCCACATTCAAGTAGAGACGCAACACAGACAATATGAAGAACTTCATTTCAGAGTAAATAAGGACTTAGCCAATCTGAACCACAGGTCAATTCATGGGTTTACAAACTCTATCCCTTACAGTCTGCCAAGTACTCAATGTTCAGTTTCAGCCTGCCCGCTGCAAACCAATGAGCTTATAAGAAGCAGTGAACAAGCTCAGAGGCAATGCATTCAACCAAGACAAACACCCCATAAGAGATTTCTGAATGTACCTCCCTTAAGGATTCTAACCTAACTTTGAGATCAGTTTCATTAGGTCTGTTTGCCAGACAAGGAACTTGGTGCCCTTTGGTAAGCACTTTGGCCATTACCAAACGAATAAACAAATCTAAAGCTAATGATGGTGAATCGCTCTCAATTCTTAATTCAATATAAAGGCACTGCATGAGCCTGAGAAAGTCATTAGTATGGGTTGATTCAGCAGAGTACACACCACCACTCTAGCCTCCAGACCATCCCATTACAGATGGGCTATGCTGTAACATGGTGAGTGTGCTGCACAGAAAACAGAAAAAAGCAGCTGCCTGATCACCAAATTTGCTGCCATTATTTACGAAGCACCATTAGCACACTCAGTACTTTACAACAGATTAAAAGGGCCAGAGAGGAAGACACAGTTTCAAATGCTGGAAGTATTTCTCAGGACTAAGACCTCATTGTGGGCTCCTAGCCTGCTCAGCTGCCACACTACCCACTGCAGCATCCATAAGAGGTATCTTACCATTGTTGGCTTTTGTTTAATTCAAACAAGTTTTCCTTTGAATGTGTCTCTAAGTTAAGCTTGGCCATAATGTTTACCCCATGCTCAGCTAAGATTTCCCACCTGTTACAATCGCTTTTGAACTTCTCAAAATGACTATCATAAAAGTATTTTGTGTGCCTTTTTATGTATGTATGGACTTTATCATTATTTTTCCTATGTCATGCTTTTTAAACTAAAAGACATATGAACAAAAACAACAATAAAAACTTGGCCTCCTGGAAAATCTTATGAAGTAGTCTCCACTGTAATAAAAGTCTATCAGTTGTAGGTAAAGTATAATACATTAATGCTATGCAAGTAGTGCCCTTGTACTGTGGAGTTATTTATGCCCTGAAGATAAAGGTTTACAGTCTAAACCTATTACTCCCTTATCTAACGTATCAAACCCTCCTCTACCATTATGCCCTCTACAGTGCTCTCACTTTATACCAACACGGTCACTGCTCTCATGTCTACACACAGCCCTTGCAACACAACCCTCACCTTGCTACTTACCATTCTGTAACACTTTTATGGGCTCTGATGACAGAGGTCTCGATGTCTATTGGGTGATATCTCATTCCTCGCAACTCCATGGCTTCATCTAGCGCACCCACAACATAGAGGGCATCGTGGCGCTCTGTTTACAAGAAAGGGAAGAGAAAACACACGTGCATGAGCCTTCACTGCAATGGTGTTCAGGCTTTTTTTTTTTTAATGGAAAAAAAAAAAAAGATTAAAACTATCCCCAAGTGAGACAGAGATGTAAAGCAGAGGGACTACTGAGCTAGGAACAGCTAGCTTTTTCTAACAGGAAAGCTCTGCAGAGTAATAATGCCCGGGGCACTGTGTTCTTCTCTCTAGAGTGCCGGGCTGCACCATGTGCAGCATTCCCTCTACGCCCTTAGAATCAAGGGCAGGAAACAGATCTCACTCTGGATCAGTGTCTATACACTGTCAAACATGGTCTTATATCCATCAATAGCAAGGAGGTTCTGCCTGAGTATGTGGGCTGGCAGACAATCATTTTACCCTCACAGTGTTCCAAAGAAGAGGAAACAGGCTAATCAAGGGATTTCACCTGCCTGAGGTCACATAGTTAGGAAGCAACACAGCCAGAATTAAACCCATTTCCCTCTGTGTTCGTAACTATGTTATCAATTCTACGTATGTTTGTGAGAAGAAAGCATAGTTTCTGATAATGTTCTTCATAGGAAATGATGAATTCCCTAGCTCAGCTAACTGTGAGGTTTATTTTTATCAGTGATGCAAACCTCAGAATGATGACATACAGTTGGTCCTTAACAGTGAGGAAATGGATCCTTAATCTTTAGGGTAATAAGTATGCTTGGGCAACACTGAAAGATAACTGACATAAATAACCTAAGACAGAAAATATATTTTTTGCAATTGAAGAAGTCAGATAGAAAAGGTCCATCAATTCACATGCTGGCACTGATCAGTCCTGAGCGTCTCTCACTCCTGCAGGGGGTTTCCTTCTTGCAGCGGACCAGGGTAAACAGCAAAAACTCTCCTTATCCCCAGTGGTTCAAATGATGGGCCCCTTTCTGGCCTTCTTTGGGAGGTCTAAATTATCACCAGCTTTCCCATCTCTAAATTTAGTTCACCACAGGAACCCTGGAAAGCATGTTCCAATAAAGTAGTCTATCATTTTCCTGAATTGGAAATATGTTAAAATGCTTTTGTAATTTTTCCCTAAATTTAGTCCTTGTTCAGTCAGGTTAAGTCCCATTAAGTTCTTCAGCATGCTCCTGAATGAACCTTGCTGCTGTTTTCAAACTCAGCTTAGTGGGGTTTTGTTCTGCCAGGATATTGAAGGAGCTCTGGTGGTGCAGTGGTTCAAACCCATTAATCAGCCACTCCATGGGAGAAAGATGAGCTGGTCTGCTTCTATAAAGATTTACAGCCTTGCAAACTCTAGGGGGGCACTTCTACTCCATCCTATAGGGTCATTGTAAGTCAGAATTAACTCAATAGCAGTGGTTTGGGGTTTTAGGATATCACAAAGGAATCTTGGCTATTGCCTTTGTGAAATATTCAAGTCCTGCCTCTAATTTTAAGGAGCTCTGGTGGTGCAGTGCCTAAGACACTTGACTGCTAACCAGAAGGTTGGTGGTTCAAACCCACCAGCCACTTTGCAGAAAGAAGGCAGGGCAATCTACTTCTGTACAGGTTTACCACCTTAGAGACCCAAAGGGGACCACTATGAGTCAGGATCAACTCAATGGCAGTGGGTTTTTTTTTTTTTTTTTTTTGCCTCTAACTTCCGTGGAACTAAGGAGATTGAGAACGGATGCTAGAATTAGCAAAGAAGTTGGGTGCACAAGCATGCTTTCATATTTTTGTTTAAGAAATATCCATGGTCCTGACTTGACATCTCCTCAGAAATAGTGTCTCTGAAACAAAGCTCACCCTAAATTCCCAAAGCCAATCTTAGGGTATCTGCAGACCCAGGCCCTGTGTGGGTGAATGTACTACAAGAGGCACCCCATTACTACCCAAGGCTCTAGTCCTGGAGAGGGCAGCCTCACGTTCCCGGCTTCTGGACAAGCGTAGGTGCAGTCCCCAGCAGAGGGCAGCGGTGTCTCTCCCCAGAGCACAGGAATGGATATAGACACAGGACTCTGTGGTGGGGGAAGATGCTGTGGACTGGCAGCAAGGACAGAAATGCTCTCAGCTGCTCTCCTGGGTGCTCTCGCTTTCATTTCAGATAAGTCTAGGGTGGGAGGGGGCAGGTGTTCAGTGGTGGTGAGGAAAAGAGTCAGCAAGCTCTTACCTCTGTCAAGAAAACATCAAAGCTTGTGCTTGGAAGTCTTGGCTTCTACTAAATGGCACAAGGGCCTCCCTGGTTTTAAATATTAGAAGAAAGAGTATGTAATGCACTTTCAGCTAAATTGGCACATTTGGCACTTGACTTTCTTTTTTGTAAAAAAAAACTCAGCTATTTTCAGGCTGGTGAGAAGCAAGGATATACATGTTCTCCTGGGTTTGACTATCCCCAACCACAGATGTGCTTTCATTGTCTAGAGGAACCTGACTTTCTCCCTCTTCAAGGGCTGAGGGGCCTGAAGGGGGCTGTTAGCAGCAGCCTGCCCGGTTTGCTTGGGAGGGTTGGTGGCCTGGAATCAGCATGCAAATTCTCACCTCCGTTTGCATCTGTAAGCTCAGTTCTCCGCAGGAACCCCAAGTAGCCTGTCCGTGCCCAGATTGTCTGGGTGTCTCCAAAACTTAATCTTGAGTTGAAGTGATCTGACTGGAGGGATTCATCTCCATAAATTGTAAAATAACCACTGGCGTTGTGAGCACTGTGAACCCAAATCTGTTAACGAAGCAAAATATAACTGGATGTAAGGTCCCTTGAGACTATCCCCAGGGAAGAGGGTTTAAATTACTTTTACAATTCAATATATACTCAGTGATGCTACAAGTTTCTATGGACTAAAAGAGCAAGATAAAGTTAATCTCATTCAGGTTTCTGGGGAGATACACATAGGCCCACAAACTTTACTGAAATAAAAGTGGCACACACAAGCTTAACACAAACCAACCAACTCATCACCCATCTGGAAATCTGTTATACTAAATTAAAGTTTTTCCTTTTTTTTAAATAGCTTTTTAACAAACATATATGAACAAAGTTGCCCTAGTTTCCTTGTACTTATCAAAATATAATGGTTATTCCTAAAGAGCAGTCTGGAAAAATGTGAAAAGCTTTAAACCTTATTATGCTCTTTCACCTATTTAGCATATTAAAAAAATATATATGCATTTCTAAAAATATGCTAAATAGGTGAAAGAGCATAATAAGGTGTTATATATATATATATATATATAGGAGCTCTGGTAGCATAGTGGCTAAGACACTTGCCTGCTAACCACACGGCTGGCGGTTCAAA